GGCAATTCCTGCATTTTCTGGACTGCTCAATTATATCTACACTATAGTTGTTGCAACTTTTAACAAGACTCCTTAAGCTGGCAGTGTGATAGCACTTGTGTAACCATGTCTAAAGCCCACGTCATATTCTGCCAATCCCTGCTTTATAGATTGTATCGACAGTACCTACCTAGGCAGAAGCCGAACGAGATATTGACGGGCCATCGGATCGGTTGAGGAATTGTTCACGTCCACGTAGAGTGGAGTGAGCTTGGTGTTGCGAGCGACTCAGACCCGAAACCCGAGATCCGAATCTGGGTACGGTTCCCAAGCAGAGTATATATGCTGCGCCAACTCGATTAGAATGCGCATCACATAAAAAAAAATCATAACTATCACAAATTGTACATTTCACAATTACATCATGTCCTTCTCTCGGTCCGTTCAGACACCAAGGGTCCGTGTTCGCGAGGTCTTTCCCGGCCTTGACCTGGGAAAATGGCCAACTGGCAAGCTCAATTCCCTGACCGATGTGCCTGGTGTCCTCGTTCACACGGAGTCCGTTCAGACAGACCAAAGTATCAATACTGGACTCACGACAATACTGTTCCGGAAAGACTGGGCCAAATACGCCTGCTTTGCTGGCGTCTTCAGTTTCAATGGCTGCGGTGAAATGACTGGAACACACTGGATCAATGAGACTGGCCTTTTGACTTCACCTATCGTCTTAACGGGAACAGGCTCTGTGGGTGATGCCTATCGCGGCATTCTCGAGTATTGCTACCAGCACTACCGTAACGAAGATGGAGATATGGGCCTGTTCCTTTTCCCTTGCGTCGCAGAGACATATGATGGATATTTAAACGACCCGAGCAGGTTTGCCGTCACCCCACAGCTTGTGACTCGTGGTATAGAGAAGGCAACCGCAGACCGTGTACCTGAAGGAAACACGGGTGGCGGGACAGGAATGATTTGTCACAGATCCAAGGGTGGCACGGGCTCCAGCAGTCGTTTAGTTGAAGGGTTTGATGTCTCCGGAAACTCAACGACGTACACAGTTGGCGTTCTAGTCCAAGCCAACTATGGCTCGGCAGAAAACCTGCATATTGGCGGCATCCCGGTCGGAAAGATTATCAAAGCTCAAAATGCAGGGCCAGCCAAGACCACTGAGGAGACGCACGGTGGGCCCCGGAAAGATGGCAGTATCATTATCATTGTTGCCACGGATGCACCTCTCCTGCCAGTTCAGCTCCAACGTCTTGCAAAGCGTGCTACGGTGGGATTGGGGAAGGTCGGCGGGTACGGGGCCAATACATCCGGAGACATCTTTCTTGCCTTCTCAACGGCAGCACATATCCCGTTCCCGGAGATAAGCATGAATCCAGCAGCACCAAAAGCGGTCAATCCATATACGCCAAGCCCACAGGCAGTCGAAATGTCAGACAACGATACCATCACCGGCATATTCGAAGCTGTCGCAGACGCAGCGGAGGAGGCTATTTACAACTCCATGTTTATGGCCGAGAGTATGATAGGTCAAAAATCTAGAAGTGTAGAAGCTTTGGATATATCACAGGTCAAGGAAATTGTCCAGAAGCGGCTGGACATAAACTGAGTAGAGATGCCTGGATCTTCTTGTTCCTGCAAAATGAATAAAAGCCATATCTGCATAACATGTCCAGGCTGCCAATCTAGAAATGACATATAATACCGAGTGTTAATGATCGATCGTTGGTTACACCATTGCTGTGTTCTGATTCGCCTTCATCTCTATAAATATCCCGTTTGGGTAAGCCACCTACAGAGAATGTATGTAAGGGTGCCATCCGTTCATTTCACGACTTCAATTGGAGCCCTTTGAGATAGTATCGGATCCGGAATTGACTTTTTAGTTTTCCGATGGACTCTTAACTTGAGCAAATTTGGAAAAACTGAACGAGTCTCTATCATCTGTCTTCTCGATAGGATGGAGATGCTTGGATCGGGTAATACGGGTAGAACGGATGAAGGCTGTAGTGCAGGTAAACCCGGTGTTAGTGTTATCTGGCATTGTGAGAATCCATGCTAGGGACTAATTAACCATGTCTAGCGTTCCCCACGGGCAATTGATTCCTGTTGCGTACGTCGATGCGGAGAGTAGCCAGCCATGAATCACGGGCTCCCATGTGGAAAAAGATCGCTAGCACAGCCATCACACGACCACTCCTGCGTGTAACTGCACGATGCCAGATCCATCAACCACGCAACGATGTGGATTGGACACTCTCGGATCCGATCTGTTGGAATGGGATGGATACCACCCTTCCCCGCAGGCTAATTGAGCTCGTTTAAGAACTGGGCTGGCTCCTCCCTCTCTAGTTGCTGTTTAGGTTGGTATCCGAGGTCGTTGTTAGGTCCACCAAAATCCGTTGTCGGATCTCATCTCATCATCCATTCCGTTGTCTTTCTTTATAGGTGGCTACAGAACCACACTCTCTTCTCCCGTGCTCTAGCATCCCATTGCTCAGGCCATACTAAAGAAAACATTATTCAATTATCAGTCTCACCAATTCTACATAATGGTAGCACCAATTCGGGCTGTGCCTAATGTAAGTGCCGCTGAGCTCCTCAGTTCCTCAATCGAGGGAATGGAAACTCACCTTCTTCCAGGCCGCCAAGCGGGCAAGCAGCCTCCTCCGTACAATTCAATATACACACCCTCCTTCATGCCCATGTCACTCAAATCCCGGATATCATCAGCAAAACCCATCATCAAATCTCCTCTCTCATGTGCAGTCACAAGGACGTCGCTTCGCCTCACCGGCCGCAGCAGAGCAAAAGGAGTATGCCTTTGAGATGGCTGCTTCATCAATTCGCTTTGGCCCCGGCGTCACCAAGGAGGTGGGCATGGATTTCAAGAATCTGGGTGCCAAGAGGGTCGCCGTGGTCACAGACCCTACCGTGGATAAGCTGGACGCCATGAAGCAAGTCCGAGAAGGTCTCACAAGAGAAGGGATCGAATTCGAGGTGTTCAATAAAGTCCGAATTGAACCAAAAGATAGCTCGTAAGTATATGGTTTTTTATTTGGTTGATTATGAAATGTGGGTTAATAAATGCTGCTGCATAGCATCAAGGAGGCCATTGCATGGACTCGGCCGTACCAGCCTGATGCCTTTCTGGCAGTTGGTGGCGGTTCCGTCATCGACACAGCCAAGCTTATGAATCTTTACAACGCATATCCGGAGGCAGATTTCCTCGACTTCGTGAACGCTCCCCTGGGAAAGGGGCGCCCAGTTGACAAGAAACTACCGCCACTCATTGCAGTCCCGACCACGGCAGGAACAGGCAGTGAGACGACCGGCACAGCAATCTTTGATTTAGTATCGAAGAAGGCAAAGACGGGCGTTGCGCATAGAAATTTGAAACCGACTCTTGGTATTTGCGATCCTCTCAATACCAGGACCATGCCCTCGGCTGTCAAGGCAAGCTCTGGCCTTGATGTCTTGTGTCACTCTTTAGAATCATGGACGGCGATCCCCTACTATGAGCGGACACCCAGACCGACAAACCCTCTCAACCGTCCCGCCTACCAAGGTGCAAACCCTATCTCAGACGTGTTCTCGTTTCATGCCCTCAAGGCTACCATTAAATATCTCCCACGCGCCGTCCGTGACCCTGATGATTTCGAGGCCCAGAGTGAGATGCTTCTCGCCGCGACCCTCGCCGGTGTTGGATTTGGCAACGCGGGAGTTCACCTTTGCCACGGTAAGGAATTTCCATGGAACAATCTGTATATTTGAAGCAAGCAAAGAGACTGACCGACTACGTAGGCATGTCTTACCCCATTTCTGGACAGAACCCGGGATACAGGCATGCAGGATACGAAATTCCTGGCCCGCTGATCCCCCATGGTGTCTCTGTCGCGGTATCGGCCCCGGCTGTGTTCCGATTCACGGCTGCTTCCAACCCTGACCGCCATCTGGCTGCTGCCGAGGCATTTGGAGTAGACATTTCAAACGTCAAGCGTGAGAGCGCCGGCGAGGTCTTGGCAGAAGCGATCACCAAGTTCCTCGCTGAACTCGGCGATCAGCCCAGTGGGCTGTCAGATCTCGGTTTTGAGTCGGGCGACATTGAATCTCTCGTAGAGGGAACGATCCCCCAAGCGCGAGTTCTAATGCTGGCACCTGGATTATCCAAGGAGTTGGAGGCCGAGAAAGACCAGCTCAGGAAATTATTTGAGAGTGCGCTGAAGCATTAGAGAAATATGGGGTACATAATCTTTGCATATATGTTGCAACATATATTTTGCGTACTCTGAGAGCAAAGCTATTCTTTACAAAATATGCCTGGTCCGCCCTCGCAAATACTCCAGCTGACTGTGCATCGTTTGTGTCTGGGTACAATGAGCGTTCTGTTAGGACAAAATGTTCTCGAAAATCCAATTGGCGTAAGCTCGAGGGCGTATTGTGTAACCTCAATTGAAGTTGGGATGATTAGCTGCTATTTTAGAGCCAAAAATCTGCGTCTAGGAGTGTGGCTCTCCTTGCTAACCCCTATTCTCGGGGATACGATATTCTATGAGACGTTGAGTGAAACAACCCGGCACTTGGACCTTCTATAATTTTCAATTCTTCAATTCCCGTCGGTGCTGGGTTGGGTTTCTTCACACTGCTAGCTCGTCCTACAGGGGCCGATCGCCTGAACTATTAACGGTTGGACCCCGCTGAGACATCCGTGACGCCACATTGAAGCCAAATGCTTGGGCTGACGTTGACGGGAGCTGCCACGTCCCACTGTGGCTACCGGCCAGGATGCTCTAATTAGGAGGATGCTACGCCACAGGAGGCTTGGCCAGATTGCCAACCTCTCCACGTCTCCCCAAGCTATGAACGGGCTGTGGGATCCTTCCACCTCGCCCGAGCGATCTCCAAGCAGTAACGGCACGAATCAACGCGGAGACCATCTGTGCTTTCGCACAATGCCCCCAAGGCCGTTCATAACCCACTCGTCCTCTCCTTAATGAACGGCCCACGCCACGCAAATGGAGCGCACAAACGGGAACGGCTTTGGTCCTGCCACCCCAGGCACTAGGGAGAAGTTCGAAGATGAGAAGCGTCGCATCATCGAGAGTTGCTTTAGCAAGAGGGAGCCGGATGGGACGCGTACGTCTTGACCGTCGTATTTTGACTGGCCATCTCCGGGAGCTCTATGCCAGCTCCTTCTCTCGTCTATCAAGCTAACATCTAAGCCAGTCCAGGAGACGTACATCACCCACCTTCGCATTACCGAATTCTCGACGCATCCTGCGACGCCGCCGCCTCCGCAAGCTCGAACTCCCGACTCCCAAAAACCTCGAGCCATCATCATCGCAGTTCGGAAATCGGGCCGCGTCCGCATGCACAAGTCCAAGGAAAACCCGAATGGAACCTTCTCCATTGGCAAGACCTGGAACTTGGATGACCTCACGCACATTGAGTCCTTTACCAGCCCACAAGCCAACCCTCAGCACCGAGAATGGGCTGGAGATACCGGGTTCATAGTCACCTTGGTGAAGCCTTATTTCTGGCTGGCGCAGTCTGATAAAGAGAAGAAGTTCTTCATCGCCAGTATGATCAAGATTTATGGCAAATATACGGGCGGTTTGGTTCCCGAACTCTTGGGTTTCGACCCAAGGGAGCTGGAGCAAGTCATGGGAGCGGGCAAGCGGCCTCCTCCCAACATTGGCGGCCAATATCACAACGGACCACCGCCAATGAGGCCACCACAGGGCATTTCTTCTCCTCCATCAATGCCCGGTCATCCCAACTTCCCACCGCACATGCCTGGCTCTCACGATGGCCCGCCTAGAGCGACTAGAACCCCTCCGATCCGACAGCAACCGCCGAGTGGCACCAATTCCCCTGCTGGCAGCTTCGATTCGTCGGCCTCGAGAGACCGGGATAGGACCAACCTACGAAAAGTCGTCCAGAATAGCAAAAGTCAAGAGTCCATGTCGATGGCGGTTCGAAACGGACCACCAGGTCCTCAAGCTGAGCCACCGACCCAGCCACTGCCACAGATACCGAACCAACATGGCCGTCCACCTAGCCGAGCAAGGGAGGAGCAAGGCCAGTTTCGATCTTCAAGCCGTCCGAGGGATGGGCAACCCTCGCACCCTCCTACTTCTTTTACACCACCAGTGGGGCGTGGTGGTGATGACCAATTTCGCCCACCAAGTCGGCCGTCAAGTCGGCCGAGGGAGGATCAGGCATATCAAAGCTCTACACCTCCTCTCATGCGACCGCCCAGCAGAGCGAGGGATGGTCAAACTTCCCCCAGGCCAGCCAGTCGGTCAAGAGACGACCAGACGCCCCCCATGCCCCTTCCACTCATGCGACCACCGAGCAGAGCCGCCAGAGATGAACAAGCTGCGCAGAACATTCCATCGCCTAGTCGAGGGCGGGAGGACCAAACACCCCCTGAGAGGAAGCGTCCTCCCATGGACCCAACACGGCCACAAGATAGAGACTTGGTGCCGGCACCTCTCATTCCTGGTACTGGCGGCCCTGGCAAGAAGGACCCTGTCATGCCGCCACCACGAAGTGCAGAGCGAGCCGGGCGTAAAAACTCTACCAGCCAAGGTCCCAACCATCCTCCCGCCCTTACCCCCTCTCTGGGAACAGATTCTACCCCCACCGTACCTATACAAAGTCCCGAGGTCCCTAAATCAGATTTTACTTCGGGTGGGCTGAACAGTCTCCCGATCCCTTCTCCGACCGTTAATATCCCTCTGCCAGTAACGGGCAAAGAAGCACTAACCTTGCAAACTGATATTGAGCAACCATCCAAGGTGTCACCCGTATCGGCGGCAGCACCAACGTCGGGACCTCAGGAAGAGACGTCAGCCAAGGGTGATGAAACTACCGCCAAGGATGAAGACAAGACAGACGAAGAGGAGAGACCTGGTCTCGGGCCTATGATCAAGTCTCCAAAGACGAAGGAGCAGGTTGCGGGAGCATTCTGGAAGGCGGCAGCGGCAGCGGCAGCATTTAAACCTCGTCGAGGAGGTGCCGGGGAGCGACTACGACTGGCGGCCCAGAAAACAACCGACGGCCCAGACGGGATCACGGATGTGGTTCCAGCACCCCCTAAGCCAGACACACCCAAAGAAGACTCGGCCCCTCCAACTCCAGATGTTCCGGCGCGTGCTCCTCAGCGTCGCTCCAACATTCCCGACGTCAAGGTTGCGGTGCCAAGCATAAATCGGCCATTAAGTGGCCAAGGCGCGTCATCTCTTATCAAAGAGATTCCCGAGTCTTTCCCCAAGGAACCGGCTCGACCAGTACGAGCTGTAGGGAAGGATTCAGAATATTTGCAGAGTCTCAGTGTTGACCACCGGATTCTCGATAATAGAAGCGAAGGATTTGGCCGATGGCTTGACCATTTTGGCTGGATACCTGGTGAACAAATGCAGTCTGGGAATGTCGATGATATGAGGGCCGACCTCGAACGAGAGTTGAATAAGACACAAGCTGGCGGCTGGCTGGCGCGCTTCCAAGAAGAAGATGACAAGGTAGACGCTATCAAGCTGGGGATCGATGTCGCCATCTTGGAATGCGAGGAGTTGGACAATCTCCTAACGCTGTATTCCGTTGAGCTTTCGGTGAGTATTCGATGGTCTCTCTCTATTGGAATTTTCTAACTTGTCGCAGACGTTATCCGAGGATATTGCCTATATTGAAGCACAAGGCCAAGGTCTTCAAGTCCAAGCCGCAAACCAAAAGCTGCTGAAACAGGAACTCGAGTCTCTTCTTGAGACCTGTGCAATCACCACCACCGATCTACAAGTGCTTCGTACGGCACCCCTGGACAATATTCAAGGCCTTTCTGAAGTTGAAAATTCCTTAGTTGTCCTCTTCAAGGCTATGATCAAGATTGATCCCAGCCTCGGAGGGCGCGAACCAGGAAAGGCCGGGGATTCGTCAGTCGATGATCAAGCATTGGGACTTGATAGTGACTACGGTAACATGAGGATTGTTCAAGAAAAGAAGGAAATGTACGTGCAAGAGAGCTCGCATTTTATGCAGCACCTCATCGGCTTCATGCCGCAACAGTTCGATCTGGCACTTGCCGAGACGAAACGTGCTCTCAGTGGAGCTCTAGCAAAGAGAGGCGACTCGAGCCACCACGAAGCTGGTAGAGATGTCCTGTGGAAATACGGCCCCTTGATGCTTTATGCCCGAGACGTCGATTTGAAAAGCTGGAGCCAGATGCTTGGCATCTATCAAGAGAAGAGCCATCCTGTGTATAAGAACGAATTCCAGACTATCATGATGAGCTGCCGCAAGAACGCCCGCAAGATGACCAGCGAGGAACAAGTATGGCTCTTCACCACTCAAATAGAAAAGCAACAGGAGAACGTGGCGACAGCGGCTAGAAAGATGACGGTGAAGCGAAGTCAGACGCTCGCCCGCGCTCTGCGATCTCCCCTCTCCGAGGGTAAGGCTGATCGCCAAAAGGCAGGGTCCGGGACCCTCCCATGGGAAGTATTCAGTGCTGTTTTGGACGAGCTGCTCCCTCTGGTTGAAATGGAACAAAACTTCATCATCGATTTCTTCCATGCTACAACGCTCGAGCAGACAGACTTCCCAGATGCGGTTGCTTCCAGCACGCCCCAGGATCGTGGTGGCGGTGATCTCAAGAAACATCGTATCATGGAGCCTGACCGTGATCTCGCTAGGCGTGTCACACGGTCCATGGAGACCATTTTCTCATTCTTGGATCATGATCTGCAAAAGCTGATGGAATGGGTCATATCCCAGGATCCTTTGTAAGTCTTGTTCTCTTTTGTCCGTAATTCTGGAGCACATGGACTAACAATTTCGATAGACAAGGAGTGGGCATGTTTGTGGCGGTTGAGAAGAAGATGGCAGATATTAGTCAAACGAACCAAGACTTTATCAACACGATTTTCCAAAAACAGCACGGTCTGCTTGGCGGCCGGTTCAGGAAATTCGTAGATGATCAAATCCGGGCCATTGAAGAGACAAAGGTCAAGATCCACAAGCGCAAGGGAGTTATTCATTTCATTCGCGTGTTCCCTGCTTTCTCTACAGTGGTTGAGAATATGCTGGTTGGGATTGATCCCAATCTCCCTATCCGGCGGACAGTGGACCGAGAGTACGATCGAATGCTCAAGTCCATGTTTGATTCCCTTCTCGTTATTGCTCGCGAGAACCCGGCAGTGGGCGTCACGAGCGGCGGAGGAGACCCCGAGGACAAGGAGGCTCTCAACTTCCACATTCTTCTCATTGAGAACATGAACCATTTCGTTGAGGAGACGGACACACGAGGACTAGATGTTCTCGAAATCTGGAAAAACAATGCAAGCAGGGAATACCACGAACATATGGGCCTGTACCTCAATGCAGTGATGCGCAGGCCGCTCGGCAAGCTCCTTGATCACCTGGAGAACATTGAGGCCCAGCTGCAATCCGGCAAGGCGCCAAACCTGATCGCGGCCCAGCCTTCAAACACCAAAACTATTTTTAACAAAATACTCGGCAACTACGACTCCAAGGAGGTACGCAAGGGCATCGAAGCGCTGCGGAAGCGAGTAGAGAAGCACTTTGGCGATGCAGACGATCCGGCGCTGAGCCGCGATCTTGTCGCGAATGTGATTCGCGAGAGCGAAAAGTTCTACGTGGATGTTGAGTCGAGAATCGGACGGATTATCACCGATGTGTACGAGGGCGATGTGCTGTTCGAGTGGCCCAGGGCGGATGTCAAGGCTGCTTTCAAATGATGTTAAACTAGGTATACCAACATCTCCAGCAGGGTTGGGAAGGAGTAGGAACGGTGTTGTGGGAAGTTTGTCTTTCTTTTCTTGGATTCACGCGACCATGGTTGTATTGTTATGGAGTCTAATGATGCGCTGTTCGAAGTAGTGGCGTGTTTTGAATGGATTAAAACGAGCATACATAGGAGGATGGAGGCAATGAAGACAACTGTTTTACTATCGCCGACCAAAGATTTGGAACTACAATTTGCTTTGTGATTGTGACTATAAAGAATGCGTGTTGCCCCCGAGTTCCCTTGCCTGTGTCAGCCCACAAGGACACCACATCACATCGTCCCTCCAGGATTGCCCATTCCCCAGTGCATGGCTGCCCAGCCAAACGGATACAGTCCGCCCATGTTAGGGGGCATGGGCCTGGCAAACCCAGGCGGTAACCACAACCCTGTGAGATCATCCGGCATGTTCCAAGGTGCCATGGAGAGCTGGTCAGACGGCAACGGCATCGGCGCGGCCATGTCAAGCGGGTTCGACTCTCCAGAGCTGAGTACGCTCTCGCTCGTGGCCGGGGCAGCAGGCAACGTCGTGGGCGCCGGCGCGGCAGAGGACGACGACGACCGCGCCAGCCTGTCCTTGACCAGCGTGACGATCCGGGGCATCGCGAGCGCCTCCTCCGGCTCTCCCTTGTCCGCGACCCGCGCCTCCCACGCCTGGAGGACGAGCCGGGCCTGGATGCGGAACAGCGGGGAGTCGGGGAGGTCTGCCGCGGCCCCCCCCTCGTCTCTGCGCTCGAGCCCGAAGACGTCGCCCTGGTGGACCATCCTCGCCTCGTAGTTGCTGCCGAGGGCGGCCCACGCCGCCTCCGCGTGCCTGCTGGAGGGCCGCCTCCTGAGGTCCTGGAAGAGCTGGATGTACGCCGGGAAGGGGAAGTAGTACTGGTGGAGCCAGAGGAAGCCGCGCACCAGGGGAGAGGCGAGGAGGTTGGTGTCGCACTGGAGCATGCTCAGGGCGTAGGTGTTGGTGGTGTCGCGCTGGGCGTCGGAGGGGGGCCGGTCGCTGCTCATCAGGGCGGCGTACTGCTCGAGCATGCGGTACTTGGCGATGAGGAAGCGCGCCACCCAGACGGTCATGAAGTGCAGGGGGTTCAGGGGGTCGCAGTGGCGGAGGTACTTGTTCTCAATCAGGTCCTCGAGCGTCGTGACCTCGCCGCTCGCGGGGGCGGGCTGGCCGCTGTGGACGTCGGCGGCGACGGCTTTGAGGCGGGGGTTGTGGAAGTCGAGGAAGAAGCCGGCATTGCGGATGAAGTTGGCGATGGCGCTGCGGACGACGACGAAGAGGGACTCGGTGGGCATGTCCCTGGAACGGAGCGGCTGCTTGAGCTCGGCGTGGAGGTCCGAGTCGTGGAGGTTGAGGGGGATCTCGCAGTCCCAGATGGGGGACAGCGACCCGGCGTCGAACTGGGACATCTCGCCGATGCGGATGTCGAAGAGCACGATGGCCCACCACAGTCTGCGCCGGAGCTCGGCCTCGAGGACGTCGCACTTGGCGTTGGCCCATTCGTTGTGGATGCCTATCCGACGGGCGATGCGGACGGTGATGGCGAGGAGTGACGAGAGAGTAGTAGGATCGGTCGTAGGCCGGATGGAGCACTAGACACAGTAGAATGAGCTCTCTGCATGGTCACATTAGAAATGACGGACATGTTATACATACCACGTAGAAAAATAGAGCTGTCAAGCAAGTCCTCTTGCCAGTGCGCAGAAACTCACAGTTCATCAAGGCCTGCTGACAGCCAAACTGGCATCTCGTCAGGAGGTCGCTCTTGGATGAGCTGAACTTGCTAATGCATTCGTCATCTGACAAACTTGTGGCCGCCATGCAATAGATCCCAAACATGAGCGCCTCGAGATCCGGTTTGATATTGGAGAGATTGCCAACTGCCTCGATTATCACGCCCTGGAGGTTTGGAGCATGGGTGACTCTGAGAAGCGGATTTACATTTTCAAGATATATGTGCCAGAGGTGGAAGATGTGCGTTGGGTCTGGATGGAGGCCAGCCAAGTCCAGCCTGGCATTTTCCCGTGGACCAAAGAGAACATTGGAATGGGCTCGGGTGAAGTCCTCCCAGGCCATTTTGTCGACAGCTTCACGTAGAGTGTCTTCCCCTATGCCTGACTGAGAAGGGTCATCATCGTTTTCCGAGAAATGGTACTGGTGATGGATAATTAATACGTCGTCGATTCAGAGGGTGATCTTGTCACCTATCGGAAGAGCATTGGTGATCCTTACCCAGTTTCTCATCGCCTGCCACATACCCCTGGGTTGAGTGCTGGCATTTGGAGCCGGAGATGGACTATCGGATGATGCTTGTGCCTCGGTGTCGGCCAAATGCTCAAGCTCATGATCCGAGCCGGCATGATCCTCCTTATGCAGGGGCTCGAATTTGATCTGGTTCTGGCGCAGGAGATGCTCGTACTTCCGCAGGCGCAGCAGCAGCTCCCGCTCCGGGAAACGACGCCGACGAGGCCCGAGTGAGCCGGGCACGCAGTTGGCCCTCAGGCGGATGCAGTTGGTGCAGGGAGACTTGCGGTCGCATCTCACCTTGCGTTTCTGGCACAGGACGCAGGCAAGAACCCTCTGCTCTTGGTGTTTGCTCTCCGAAAGGGAGCCCGACTTGCTCCTTGGCATTGCGTCTCCTCCGTCTCAGGCACGGCGCCGGGAGACTCCACAGTTCGGGGCGAGTTGCCGGACAGAGTGTATTGTATCAGTTCAAGTAGCGAGAGAAGAAAAGGTGTGCTGGATTAGCCAGATGAAATGAGTCATGGCAGGGAAATTTCAATCTGGACCCGCCAAGTTGGATCATCGTCGAGTCTTGCTGCGCAGATGCTATATGTAGGAATGTCCATGGGGTTGGCCAGGTGCCGACATGGGCCAAAGCTCATTATATCGGGCGGTTCTAACTTCCGAGACTAGGCCAACACCACAACAGCACAAATCCATCTCGTCGGAACTTAGATCCTCCCGAATCGACATACAACCGTCAGCCATCAAGACCAGTCTATACGCACAAGCGCTCACTAGTGAATGCACGGTAGGCAGCACTCGAATTATCTTGCATTGCACTCGCCATGTGGTGAGATCGGACGGCGGACTCCCAGAAAGTCCACTGAAGCTCCGTCTCATTCTCCGTTGAGCTCTCTTCCCCAACGAGAAAAATCATACTATATAAGGCGATAGGAGTTCCTGCTCGGGGTAGGATCTCGACATATTCGCCAAGATGCTCAAATCAGCATTCAGCGTTGTTGCAAGACGCTCTACTTCCCAGCTCACACGCTCCATCATCAGCTCCCAGTTCCACTCAGCCCGGATTCTCCAGAGAAGCAACATGGCACCGTCTGTCGCCATAGTAGGAGGTGGCCCCTGTGGCTTGACCCTGGCACGATTGCTGGAGGTCAAAGGCGTGGATTATGTCGTCTACGAGCGTGACGAATCGTCCAGCATCTCAGATCGGGGCGGTGGCTCGCTTGATATCCACCCAAAAACGGGCCAGCTGGCACTCCGAGAAGCAAAATTGCACGGCGCATTCTTGGAACATGCCAGATACGAGGACGACAAGTTTGACCTCTATGATCCGCAGGGTAAATGCTGGGGTGAGGTTGGTGGCGAGAAGAACGAGGGCGACGTCATCCCGACTGAGGAAGAACGGCCAGAGATTGACCGTCTGGCCCTGCGGCAGATCTTGCTGGACTCCATCCCAAAGGAAAAGATCCAATGGGGACACGGGCTCAAGAGAGCAGCCTTTGATGCTGATGGCAGACCTATCCTTGAGTTTGCCAATGGTTCCACGGAATCTGGGTTCGACCTCGTGGTTGGTGCTGACGGAGCCTGGAGCAAAGTACGACCCTTGGTATGTATATATTGAACACTCTCCAGCTGATCTAATTTGTCCGGGTGTGTGCTTATCCCGCTGCTTGTTTCCCAGATCACCGAGGCCAAGCCCAAGTATTCAGGTAAACTCTATATCGAGACGAGGATACGTCAAGGGAATCCAATCCACGATTACATGGCCACCAAGTTTGGCCCCGGGTCCAGTTCCGTATTTGATGGGCCTAGATCCCTCGTCATTCAACGACAAGGCGACCATGCCTACCGAATTTACTATGGAGTCGCTGTTCCAGAAAACTTCACCAAGACCACGGCCGATTTGTCCAACGCAGACTCGACGCGAGCTCTGCTTCTGTCGGAGGAATTCTTTGGCGGATATGCGGAGGAGTTCAAAGATTTGATTCGACACTCGGACAATTTCCGGGGATGGCCGCTCTATGGTCTACCAATCGAGGCCATGGGTTGGAAGTCTGTGCCTGGTGTGACGTTGGTCGGAGACGCTGCGCACGTCACGATTCCTTCTGGCGAGGGTGTCAACGTGGCCATGAACGATGCGTTGGTCTTGGCAAACAAGCTGGAGCAGCATGGCACAACGCAAGGCCGGGATCAGGCAGTCCGTGAATACGAGGAGGACATGTTCTTGCGCGGCAAGGAGACGATCGAGGAGAGTTGGAAGTTGTGGGAGCTGCTGTCACATCCTGGTGGACCAAAAGCCATTCTGGACATCTTCCTGCAGGGTGGAGCTGGGAAGCAATGAGTAGACGATGAAGAGAAACTGAATTGAACCACGACTTTCTATCGTGTCATGGCATTCTCATTAGAACATGTACTAATATCGGCAATGAGGGAAAAGCTACAATCACGTTTCTAAAACACTTACTTCAACTTGTCTGCTCTTAAAATCTCAAATGGGAGGATACTCATAGATTATATCCTTTCGTTACCTCCCAGAGTATGTATGCATCAGGAGACTGTTCCTTCTACCGTGTGGCTCTTCCTTGCTCCGTTAATGAATTTTGCACACTTCCAGTGCCTATCCCACAGACCTATATCAACGGCAGGAACATCGTCTGCTATCCCAATGGACCAACCACACTAAAATTCCATCTCAATTGAATCGTTCCAATGCTGATGGCTCCTTCGTTCGTTTCTATAATATCACCCCAGTTGCACTTAATCCTTCCAGCGCTGATGGTTCCTTCCTCCATTCATATGGTCGCTCCCACTGTAGTAATGACGCCGAGTTTGACCTGGTCTTTCCAGGTTTGATGGTTCCTTCCCTCCATTTCTATGATCACTCCCATTGTAACAATAACGCCGAGTTTGACCTGGTCCTTCCAGGATTGATGGTTCCTTCTATTAGTACCTAGGTAGTTTAGGAGTAAAAGAAATGTCGTGTCCTCTGCTCCCAAATCATTGCTGCAGCAACTTTCACATCACTTGTTTGTTCATGGTACAGAACGGATAATCAAGATTTCTTTCCCTTATTCCATCCTCACGTATCGAGCAATGGTCAGACGGAGGAAAGTTGTCCATACATCAAAAAGGCCGACAGAAGCCCAGGTGATGGGACGGGGTCAGGTGCTTCCTGATCCAATCCCATCTATCCCTCCTGGCAAATCCATCATCTCATTGCCTGCAGAACTTTCTTCCATTAGGCGCAGTCCGGACCCTAACAGCATCGATGGAAGCAACTGGTTTGACCCGACTCTCCTTGATAACGAATTCGGTACAGCCGAAGGCATCAAAGAACTCCAGACCATCGCGAAATACTTCAGTGTTCCACGCGTGGAAGATGATCTCCACGTCTTTCTTAATGCAATGAACCTACGGCTGCCTCGATCTTGTGGATGGATTTGGCCGCTTCTCTCCCAATTCGACAAGAACGCAGGGAAAGATGTCGCGGTTTTCCTCCTATGGTGTCCAATTCATCTTACACGCCTTGATGAGCCTGGAGAATGTTTCACTAATGACTTTATTGCTGGTCTGCAGACCTGTAAGTACTGATTCTCAATTCTTCTACGAATATAACTAATATAGTACTTAGCCCTCCATGGCCTCGATTCACTCTTGGTAGATTTACGAAAACAATGCCGCCGCTCAACCGATAACAGTCGGTGTCAATCACTCGCATCCAAGAGAGAAGGAACAATCCTCAGTTTGGCCACGATTGTTGAACTTTTAATCGCCAAGAACGTGTTCAAAATTCGTATACAAAGAACGATTGCAATGTCTCAAACAGTGTCAGCCATTGTTGATGCGATCAGTGCCTGGCCTTCATTGGACATTGGCAAGATACATAAAGTAACTTGGCATCCCAGGGCATTCAATGATTTGTTCATCGCCGGGGCCGAGTCAAAACAATGTGCCATCACGCTCTTCAAAGAGGACATTGTTCCCATTATTGACGAAATTGAACATCATCGGACTGGTCGAATCTCTGACAACTTCACATTAGTGGTTCGTCAGTATCAAAAATCTAAACGAACCGCACTCTCCCAAATTTCCAAAAATGTTTTTCAGGAAGATGTGGTCGACGACGGGAGTCTTCTTTCGTTTGTCAAAGGTCTCGACAAGAAGCCTCGTTCTCGGAAGCCCACAATTATCAAACCTGAAAAGAACATGATGCGTTCGGTTCTCGACGAGGCTGGTGAACGGAGTCTGGTGCTTCCAGTCTCTATTCCCAACGATGCGTCTACTGGAATTGGCGAACGGGGTCTGGTGCTTCCAGTCTCTATTCTTCAGCAAAGAAATCAATCCACGCATACTCTCGTTCATATTTCACAACTCCCAAGGACGATTAATACAGAACTGCGGTCAGCATACTCACAATTTGGACAATGTCCATTGAAATTTGTCCGTTTAGTCAATGAGGCGATTATCTCTATGGAATTAAGCAACCGATTTTCTATTTTCAGCAACAACCTCTTCGAAGATCAATCACTTCATACCTTTATTCACATAGGGAAAGACCTTAAGTCAAGATTTAGAAAGGAGGTATTAACACCGGAATACAATTCATCAGAAATAGCTAAAAAAAAGAAAACGTGAATATCTCAAAGCATCACGAGGTAAAGCAACTCATGCGGCGAATCATCTTACATGGAGGAAAACCGAGGGTGGTAAAGCATATGAGAAGGAGTATAATCGGAGGAGAAGAGAGGCGCGGATAAAGAAAGGGATGAAAAGGGGACCATATAAACCTAGAGATCCTAATTGAAAATACATAAGCGTGCTGATATGCACAACCTGACCTCTGATCTTCGAACTCTGTGTTATCGCTTGCGCTGTACGGGATCAAGTTCGCGAAAGGCGAGGTCGACCACGATGGATTGTTGGGGATCAAGTTTGCGAATGATATCGCAGAAGACCATCCGTCTCATGACAAATAGAGGGAGGCCTATCCATAGGATTATAATATACAAGACCGTTGATGCTGGCAGGTCTGACTGACCTGCCCGTTGCTGCCGCTGTTGATCCTATTCATAAGAGTCAGTGTGGATGGGACGGATTGGCCATAATAGGTCAATGATCACGATTTCAAGAATGAAGTAAATGCCGCGGGCAAGAATTGTTGTATTTCAATTTTCCTGGGCAGCTAACTCGGCTTTTCAACTGCAAGACATTCGTTCGGCTCGCCAACATGTTACCCAGAAACAGAGCCCCCCCCCAGGTAGGTATAGAATAATAAAATATTACAACCGTTATGAGATTAATAGAATTATACCACTTAACCATTTGGCCGGACCTTGTAATTGCTTGGAGACTCCCAAAAGCATACTATATAGCTAGAAGATTACGATATGAAGACCGTTGTCAAATAGGTAGTACTGGCATTGTTATCTGATGTGATGAGACCCATGCCCTCGCTGTGCCTTACTGCCCTGACTGAAGACAAGGAAGCACTATATACCATCGCCGCAGCTTCAGCAAACAATCTCCGAAATTATTCCTGCCTAAATTGGCTTGCCAAGCAAGCGACTGACATAAAACATGGCACACTAAAGCTCTTTTCATGTAAGTCAGGGATCTTATTTTCTTATTAATAATACTAATTATAATAATAAGGTAATACTAGATTATTCTATAATATTTAGCTGATATTGTGTCTATTACTGGGTTAATTATTCTAGTATTGTGTTGTAATTCAACGCTGGAGGTTCTGGGTGTGCCATGTTTTATGTCAGTCGTCTGCCAAGTATCGTTGGAGCTAGAGATCGGAATGTGGCGGTACGGCTGAGCTCCGAACGCAAGTCAGTCATCCACCGTCGTCATCGCGCCACCGACTCCTCCTGAACAGACCCTGGAAAATGTGCTTGGAACCCTCAGGACTCGCATGATTAGCGACATCCAAGTGAGAGGGGTCCTCGATTCCTACACGAGTAACTCCACCGCCTGAATGGCTTTCCTTCCTTCAACGATATCCGCATTTATGTACAAGTCCCTCATGTAGGTTATCTACGAGCCACTGGATCTGACGCACCGCCCCTGCTCTCATTAAAGCGCGGGGCTCTTGGTGGGAGGGAGCCAACTCACTAGCGATGCGCCCACCCACCCACTGGAAATCACGGGGTTACATTAGCTCCAGTGGCCCCTAAATTTCCAAGCGAGGCCCTGGAAGTTACATAGACCTCATTGCGCCTTGTGCTCTTTTAGCCGCGGATGGCCTGCAGCTTAACCTAGTCGGACAGTTATCTTGCGTCTTGTCCCTGAGTTAATACTACGCTGGACACCCAACCCTCTATTCCTATCCCCTCCACCATCTCTGTTCACCCCTATCGTATCATCGTTCCACGAAGACGAGCCAAACAAGTACGTGTTACTACCCTCTGTCCTGTATCTCGCAACCTACACTCGACATCTGTGGAGCACCAGATTCACTCCTACCAATTGCCATCAATCGATCTCCAGCGCTAGCTCAAGGCTAACCACCGTCTCCAGATAGCTCTCCTACCAACCTCGAAGCTTCCCATATCCTAACGCCAAGATGCCCGGTGTCCGTAAGTCAATGTAGCTGCCGACGTAATAGCATGTTCCACGAGCTAACCGTCCCGATCCAGCTCTCGACGCTCTTCACAACCTGAAGGCCAAGCTCAAGGCCGCCTTCACCAAGAAGTTTGAAAAGCCTGCCGAGTCCAAGCCCGCCGAGACCAAGCCTGAGGATTCCAAGCCCGCGGAAGACAAGCCTGCCGAGACCAAGCCTGAAGAAACCAAGACTGAGGAGACCAAGCCCGCAGACTCCAAGGTCGAAGAAGTCAAGCCCGAGGCCAAGCCCACCGAGACTGCCCCAGCCCCTGAACCTGCGGCTGCTCCTGATGCTGCTGCTGCTGTAGCTGCTGCCGCTTCGCCTGCTGCTCCGGAGACAGCCAAGAAGGAAGAGGCCCCAGCACCGGTTACAGCTCCTGCTAGTACGTTCAACCCGAAATGCTGTAGAATCCGGCTTGTATAAGTGCGGAGTGAACGGTGTTGCCCCTCTTCCCCCCTCTCCCAAGGTGGTCATTGATCTAACTCGAAAGAAGCCACCGCACCTGAGCCCACCCCTGCTGCTGCTCCCGTCACCACCGAGGCTCCCGCCGTCGCCCCCGAGGTCAAAGCTGAGGCCGCTCCCGCTGCTGCGCCTACCGTTACCGAGACCCCAGCTCCTGGTAAGAACAATCCGTAGCCTGCTCAGACATAAGCAGGCGGACCGGAAGAAGGCTCAGCCTGGCTAACAAACACGACAGCCGTTGCTGTGACACCCGCTGCCGCCCCGGCTCCGGAAACCGTTGATAAGAAGGAGGAGACTCCAGCCGCTCCCGCCGCCGCCCCTGCTACAGCTGCTGCTACCCCTGCTGCTCCCGCCGCCACCTCCTAATGCGCTGACCACGATTGATTGATGCTTGTTTTTGTTTGGCTTTTCTTCTTCTTCTCTTCTTTTTGCTGTTTCGATGTCGAGAACAACGATAATGTGCCGTCCTTGGTTCTGTACCATCGTTGGTTGGATTCGAAAGTCTAAAGGTTTGGCTTTGGCTACTTATCCTACATCTTACGACTACGGATGGTTGGATACCCCCTGAGAAAACAGGATGTTGCGAGCGATACCATATACCTAAATATATACCCTTGATAGTCTTCATTGAAGTTGAATGCTCCTCATATTACCTTGTCGTACTTCTTATTTTGTGAAAACTGAACGAAGAAGAGTCCTTCTAAATTCATCAACTGAACTCTCATTCTTTCCGGCGCTGAATACATGAATATTATGGATTTGTTATTGCGAACACCTCAGTCTTTGGCCCACGGCGCTTTCGTAACACTAATCTGCGCATTTGTGGTCTCACCGCCAAATGACCTACCGGTGGGCCTGGCTCCCAAAGATCCAGAGCTTGGTCCTGGGGGTGCTCTGCTGTAAGGAATCCCAGGTCCTGATGATGCGGGTGGCATCCTTGTCGCCTGGGCCCACGGTGCTCCCGTGCCACTTCCTGGCGGCGGGGGCGCTGAGGTGCCCGCGACGGCGGCAGAAACTATGGGCTGGTTCACCATGTGGACGCTCTGCGCAGGCTCAGCAGCCTCGGGGTCCAGATCCCACGAGAAGAGCTCGCCAAAGGTGAAGTGCTGGACGACGGGGAACTTTGACAGAACCTCGGCGTTGAACATCTTGATCATGCCCTTGTTGATCTTGCCCCAGCCATCCTTGATGCCGGATATGTCGAACAAGATGGGGGAGTGTTCCCAGAAAGGACCCTTCTTCACGTCGTTGATGAACCCGATGGCCGAGAAGTACATGTTTACTTTGCGGTAGTCCTCGACGGCGGTGGGCTTGGTCACGTCGGCGGGACGAGGGGCACCGCGGACGGAGCCTTCCAGTGGAGTTGCCTCGTTCGAGTTGATCGGGCGGGTTAGCTGCGCCGAACCGAAAATGTACGGCATGAAGGCGTGGTCGTCGAGGCCCCATACGCCGTGCGAGCCAGCTGGCTCGAGGGTGTAAGTGAGGATGAGCTTTCTCACAACTCTCAGGTATCTGGGGTAGGTTAGCTCGGGCGCGTATAGGTGGAGGTGAGGTGCAGATACTCACGGCTCGATCACCGAGAGAACGATATCTCGTTCGATTTCACCATCCTGCTGCCCATCTTGGAAGAAACCCAGCTTCCACAATCCTCCCAGGAAGGCGAGGAAGCTAAGTTCATGCCCGGTGCCGTAGTCGAGGCGCTGGGAGCTTCCAAAGGACCCAAGAAAATAGCTGGAAACCTCCTCCTTTGCCTGGCCGTTGCCGACCTTCAACGTCTCGCCCAGCCTTCCCTCGTCTAGAAGGCCGCCGATACGCTCCTCCAGGAGTCCGTGCCATTTTCGGAAGCTCACGTTACCGAAGCGTCTTGGGCCAGGGTCTGGTGGTGCTTCGTCGAGATATGACTCGACTACCTCGAGCAGTTGCTGCAGAGCTCGGATGGATTGTGTGTTTGAAACTGTGTTGGTGGAGGGTAGAGGGAAGACGCGGGGTAGTGGGGTGTTGGGCTGGTGACGAGGAACGAGAGCATGGTTGAGCTGGAGGATGAAGATTCCTATGTCCCTGTATGCCAAGCTTTTTAGGAAGCGAGAGACGTCTGGGCCATCATTGATTCGCTTGATCGGCTTTGAAAAAGGCGGCAGGCTAGACAGGTCAAGTAGCTTGAGCGTGGGCAAGGCTGGCAAGGCTGGTGGAGCCACGGGCTTTTGAGGAGGCTCCATAGCTTGTGCTTGCAGTTTGAGCGAATGATTAACCTAGGGGGCTGTAGGTACTCCGTGTTGCTTTTATCTGGTGCTACTATTTTAATTAAAGGAAAGTTTTGTACAAGAGAGCTGTAGGTGGATAGGTTAGTAGCTTAGCTGTAGCTAGCTGCCCAAGCTCCTCTATGTTGATGACGTGAAGTTAGTCAGCACAGGAAGGAAGTGGAATGAAGTAAGGTATTTACATTTAGGTAGGTAGTGTGAGTTACGTCAAAATATCAAAGAGGTAATCAATTATCCACATGGGTACAACTTACTTTTACATCATTATTCTGTGTGAACTAATAGGGGTTGTTTTTAATGGTGCGTGATTTGGCTCTGGAAGCTGCGCTCTAGGGTAGGTAGGTGAAGCTGAGGCCAAGCCTGCATACGCGCAGGCGCGAAACACGCGATCTCTTAGCAGTTACACAATCTCACTTTGCGACGCTCGGAATAACCCCTGGGCTTGCAGCATGAAGAGTCGAGCTGGACCTGGCTCGAATAACAATTATGAGCGATTCTTATTCTGAAGACCGGGTTGTAAGATTTATCGAATCTTTACCCGATGAAACTTTGTGCCCTCCGTGGGTTGATCAACAGGTGGACCCAAATCGCGTCAAACTGGAAGAGCAAGGTGAACACACATCGAGAGGGCAACTACCAGAGAAGCAGCGCAATGAAACCGAGACACACTTTAACCAAGCGGTTGAGGGACGGGGAGCTATAACCACCACGGTTAGTTCAGAGAGCCTCCGTTTACTGTTAAAGCCCATGGGACGGCATGAATGGACAGCCCAAGGCAATAAATGGGAAGAAAGGTTCCTGGGTGGAGAAAACGAAGACAACGCACTATGGTTACGCGTACACTCCAAAAAGATGAAGAGTGAGCGATGTCGAAAGCTCTTAATGTTCATACACAACCTATGGCTCCTCCACCAAGAGGCTCATCTGGCCCATGGTATGGACCAACAGACGTCTGCTGTTCGTAGGGCCGAGCATGCGAAGAGGTTGAGAGATCTGATCCGCGTCATCCATTCTGCGGTTGATAAAATATGCGCCACGGCACATGATGACCTGTCGAAGATGCCAGAGGAAAGGGAACATGCTGGCAATACCGCAGGGACCTTGCGGTGTCAAATCATTCCTCTGCTCCTGTTGGCCGCAAAGGCAGTCTTTATGACGGGGAGCCAAGAGAAACCGAGTGATAGCTCCCAGGCCCTGCCTACAGGAGGAACCTTTACTGTTTCTGCAATCCAGATAATGCGTCAGATTATGGACTGGGTAAAAAGACTACACTTTGCGATGGTCAACGAACTGGAGGTCAATCCGCCCATTTCCGAGAACGTGGATATTGAAACGAGGCGTAGAGAATCTCAAGAAATATCCAAAGTCCTCCACCAGCTCAAATTACCAAACCGGCACATCATGGACTTTGCAACCAGTCTTACACAAGCATACGAGGAGTTGGAAGAAGAGGCTAATAGGCCAAAGAGGAAGCGAGAAGCCATGGAAGAAGATATACGCATACGGCAAAAAAGAGAGGACAAAAAGAGAATGGAGGAGGAGGCGGTCGAGCGGCGCATGGCACTGTTTCGATCATCAACTCAAGCATCCCATGCACGAACATTGACCCAGAATTCCAACAGCCAGGAAGCAGAAGGTCACGGACAGACACAGAGGGATGCAGACGAAGACCAATTTACTCAGATGCCAACTTCACAGGGACTGGCTGAAGTTGATCCAGCCTCTAATGCTCACAGATATCGCAGACGCAGTCAGGAATTGAGGCGCTGGGAGAAGGAGGAGCGGCCGGCCATTAGCCAATCAAGCCAGAGCATGCCGCAAGGCGAAGCTCGTCAAAAAGTCCATTGGTCCTATGAAGAGAGCAATATTCTCCTCACACTGATTCGCACGACGTCACAACCAAGCCTGGTGGATTTAGCAGAAAAACTACCGGGACGGAACGAGCAAGAGATAAGAAAGAAGATGGGCGAGCTCAAGGAAACGTCGCGCAGATTCTACGAGGAGCGTGGGTTGATACCCCCGAAGTGGTGTTGAGAGTGGATGATTTGCGTTAGCTTACCGCGGTTCTCGCTTTTGGAGTTAAAATGATACCCTTGATTTACAAACCAACCACTTGCTTTAGCTATGGGGCAGCTGTCGAGCCGGCTTTCCCGATCTGGGGACTATCTGACCGGCATCGGGAGTGAAAGCATGTCGTGCCTAAACATATGATAACTCGTTGTCGAGAAGCACTAGGAGCCACTCCTTACCCACCTCCAAGCTCCTCGTTATAAGTTTGGTTCCCAACACGCCACCGTGATTTCCGTAGGGCCCCCTAAGGTGTCCCCTGGAGGCGCTCAAACTCACAAATACCCCGGCTTTCCATTGATGTGCTGGCGCTGCAAGCTTGACGTACCTGCCCCAATACATGTCGTGAAGCTAACCCGCAAATTAGGTCGTGCCACAGCTTGCTTGGGCGGCTGATGTGGCACCACTTCGTTGGCGGATAGACCCGCTTGATTGATGATAGGTACATAGGTAGGTAGCTACAGGATGCCTCCCTACCTGTAGGGATGGGCGGCTGTCGAGCCGGAACCTGAGCTGGTGTGCGCGTGTGGTTGTCTTTCTGAAGGACTTTCCACCTTTGATAATGAGAGTGCTATAGTAAATGGTGTTTGGATTGATGGGAAAGGTTACTACATAGGTCAGCACCCGCATCCTCAGCCAGCAGGGAGCTGATAGGCGAGCTTTCGGCTGAACCAGGGCGTCAATACCCGACATGCTGCTTTCAAGGGAGATACTGGATCGTGCGAATCTGAATGGCTCGCCTTCAAAGTTCCTGCCCCTCCAGCTTGGGCAAGGATAAACCCGAAGCTAGGAATAACCGTACGGGGGCTGGGGGTGAAGTTCGATATTACGTACCCCTGAAGGATCAGTCATTTCTGCTAGCCGGCTTTGGATGGTGGTGAAACGGCGAGGACGACCGGTAGAGAGATGGGCAGATGGTTGGATGGACCGGTATGAGCTGTCGCCCGCTTGGGATGCGAGGTGGTGATGCCCAGCGTGTGCTCAACCAACCGCCCGGCCGCCTTGGACAATGGATGGACTGGATGGATGTGAGGCGAACCTGCCGGGTGGTAATTAGCTGTGCATCCTCGTGCATGATGGGTGCATCGGTGCTACGAGACAGCGGGGGTGAGCTACTTTTAGTGCCACTCGACCCCTGTGGCCCAGTGGGGCACCGCTCGACGAACACCCTGCGCTGACTTTTCCAACGGGCGTGCAGCGCGTTGAGATGGCCTACTTCCCCTTTGCTCGCCTCGCGCGCGAAATCACACCTTGGCTTCTTCTCCAAGTTCCCCTGACCTCAAGAACACTCGTTCCTGGCCTTATTCCCTGGTTCTTCTGCGTGTGGGGTTTCGACTTAGCAGGTTTCTGATATTAGGTCCCTTTTTCTGTGTCTTCATCAAGGACTGGCTCTCTTTTCTTTCAGGAGAGGCGAGCTACGATCGACGCAATAGGAGGCATCTTAGGTGAAATTAGTGTGTGAGTCGCTTCCCCGTGCTTATCGCGAGACCCCTTCCCCTCTGGTTCATGCTCTGGCTTATTTCCAATTGCGCACTGCCTTTGAATTCGAGTTGGCTTATGCTTCAATTTTAGTTGCAACTGCGTTTTCGCTGTCCGATTCAACATGTCTGAGACCGAGGGATTTGAAGTCGTTCAACGCGATGAAGTCCCCCAGGAAGCTTCGCCGGTGTCTCCAGCTACCACCAAACCTCAATCAGCTTCTCCAGCTACCAAAGCCAGTCCGGCGGCTAAGACAGCAACCACGGGAGCGAAGCGCCTGAGCACGAGCTCAACCACAGCGACTCGCCGTCCTGGCACTACTACGACCACGGGAGCAAGAACGACTGGTACCGCCACTACGCGTACCGCAACTGCTGGAACCACCAAGCCGCTCACGCGTCCGGCAGCTAGCAGTACATTGAACCGCCCAACGACGAGCTCGAGCGCGACCAGCCACCGTAGCCGACCCAGCATCAGTGCGAGCGAGGATGAGAAGAAGTCCACAACCTCGACTTCGTCTCGACGGACAAGCACCTTGCTGTCTAGCCCGTCGAAGGCCAAGACAACCCCCACGAGCACCACCGCTGCTGCTCGCAAGCCTGCAACTGCAACTGCCACCAGTACTAGCAGCCCTCGCTCAACTACGGCAGCGAGAACTTCTACGACCACGGGCACAACCGCAACAAGAACTGCCACCTCTCGCCTTGGAACGGCGGCATCTACAACTGATGCCAGGAAGCGATTATCTACTGCTGGAACTCCTACACCTACGTCTCGAACTACCGCTACTGCCCGAACCGTCGCTAAGCCCGAGGCCTCGGCGGCAGCCGCCAAGGAAATCGAGGGGCTGAAGGCCAAGGTCGCTGAGGGTGAAGCTGAGATCGAGGCTCTCAAGACCCAGGTTAAGGAGTCGGAGGATAAAGTTGCTGCTCTCACGGAGCAGCATAGCCACAGCGAACCTAATGGGGACGATGCGAAGGCTGACCAGCAATCGGCCATCTCAACACTTGAGAGTCAGCTCTCAGAGACCGCGGCAAAGCTCGAGGCCGCGCAAGCAGAGCTCGAACAGCACAAGACCGACCTGTCGGAGGTAGTTGGGCAGAAGGAAGCCTTCCAGTCCGAAATCGAGGCTCTGAAGGCATCCCTCGAGACTGTTCAGACAGAGAGCGCCGAGAAAGTTCAAGCCAGTGACGCTGCGCTGCAGAAGGCTGCTGATGAACATGCCGTAAATATTCAAGAGCTGAAAGATGCCCTCGCTGAACAGCAAAAGGCCGCCCTAGAGGGGCTCGAGACTAAGCACAAGGAGGAGCTTGGTCGAGGCCAGGCATCTAGTGAATCGCATGAGGCCGAGATCGTAGCACTCAAGTCAGAGCACGATGCGGCTCTTGCCGAGCTCCAAAAGAAGATTGACGACTTGTCTGCCTCACAGGCTGCTTTGGAGTCTGCTAGTGGCGACAAGGCCAAGTCCGAGCAAGACGCTCACCTCGCCCAGGTTGCTGCCCTTGAAGGAGAAATCGCAGAGTTGAAGACCAAGCTCAATGCTGCCGATGCCGCGGCTGAGAAGGCCCAGGCTGACATCAAGTCCATCGGCACTGAGATCGAGACCCTTCAAGGATCTCTTGATGAGAAGGAGAAGGAACTGGCCGCTGCTCAGGATGACTTGAAGAAGGCCCAGGACGATCTTGCAGCTGTCCAAGCCAAGGCATCCGAGGCTGAAACCGCTCTTGCTGCCAAGGACGAAGAAATTACCAAGCTCAAGGGTATTCACGATGAGCGCATGAGGTCAATCGCTCAGGACTACGAGGCCGAGATTGAGAGCCTCCGAGGTGACGCGTTCTTTAAGCGCAAGTTTGAGGACCTGGAGCGTCAACACACTGAGCTGCAAACCTCTTCAACTGAAGCTGAGGAGAGCCATGCCAAGGCAGTTGAAGCTGCTAAGGCCGAGCATGCCAGTGCCGTGGCTGCACTGGAGGCTAAGGAGGCTGAGCATCAGAAGGACCTAGACGCTCTTCGAGCCAGCCACGCAGAGCAGCTCGAATCCGCCAAGAACAGTGCCTCGGCCGACAAGGATGTTGTATTGAGCGAACTCGATTCTCTCAAGGCTAGCCACGCCCAGCAGCTTGAAGTTTTGAAGAGTGAGGGCGAGTCTGGATTGGCGAAGGAGCTTGAAACCCTCAAGGCATCCCACGCTGAAATCATCGAAGGACTCACGAAGAGCAGCACCGAAGAGAAGGAGAAATTGCTGGCCGATCATGCCGCAGAACTGTCGTCGATTAAGGAGACCGGAGACAGTGCTCATGCGAAGGAGTTGGCTGACATCAAGGCAGAGTTAACCTCGGCCAAGACAGCTGGAGACGAGGCGCACATTGCTGAGTTGGAAAAGATTAAGTCTGAGCTTTCTGCTGCTCAGGAGGAGAAGGAGTCAGCACATGCTGCTGCTATTGCTGCCATTCAAGCCGAGCTTACAACAGCCAAGGAGGCTGGAAATGAAGCTCATGCCGCTGAACTGGCCAGCATCAAGGCCGACCTCTCAGCAGCAAAGGAGGCCAGCGACGAGGCGCATGCTGCCGAGCTGAGTGCACTCAAGGCGGAGCTCGCTACTCTCAAGACGGAACTTGCAGCCGCCAAGGATGAAAAGGAGACTCAAATTGCCGAGGCGAATGCAGCCAAGTCTCAACTCGAAGCTCTTCGACTTGAGCAGACTGATGCGAACAAAGCAAGTGGCGAAGCACATGCTGCTGAGATCGCTGCCCTCAAAGATAAGCTCGTCGTCGTGGAAGAACAGAAGGAGCTACGTGCTGCCGAGCTTGTCACTCTCCAGGCTCAGCTGGCTTCCCTTGCGTCTGAGCACGCTGATTCCACGAAGGCAACCAGCGAAGCTCATGCTTCCGAATTAGCAACGCTTCAAGCGGAGCTTGTGTCTGCCCGGGAAGCAGGAAGCGAGGCACACTTCGCCGAGCTTGCTGGTCTCAAGGCTTCATATGCTGCGGCTGAGGAGGGCAACAAGAAATCACACGATGACGCTCTCGCTGCCCTCAGATCTGAGTTGACAGCAGCAAATGAGAAGAGCAAGACTGAGCACGCAGCTGAATTGGCTAAACTGCAGGCTCTGCTTCAGGAAGCCCAAGCCGAGGTTGAGAAGATTGAGAGGAATGCTGAAATCGCCATGGACAGTGCTAAGTTGGAGCTGGAGGAAGAGCACCACAAGGAGATTGAGAAGTTGATTGATCTCAATGCTGAATCAATCCAAGCCTTGAAGGCGGAGGGAGTCAACGCCAAGAAAGAGCTTGAGGAGCTCGTGGTATCTCACACCAAGTCTCTTGACGATCTCATGACTGAGTACAGATCCAAGGATGCGTCTTTCGAAGAGAAGCTTTCCGCTGTCACGGATGCTCGTGATAAGCTTGGTGAGCAGCTGAAGGCTGTTCAATCGACTCTCGACAGTGCACAAGTTGAGGTTGATGAGCTCAGCCATCAGCTTGCGCAGGAGAAATTCGAAAGGATGACAGCGCTTGCCGAGCTTGACGCCGCGAAGAGTGCCAAGCCTGACACGTCCGCCCTGGATGCGTTGAAAAAGGAACACATCACATTCAAGGAAGTCCATGAGAGCACGCTGGCTGAAAAGGAGACACAGCTGAAGGATGTTCAGGATGCCCTTGCGGCGGCCAAGACTGAGCTTGGCGCTGTCCACGCTAACCTCTCCGACGTCCGTGAGGACCTCGAGCTGTCGCAGAAGGATCTGGAAGCTTTCAAGGCCGAAGCCGATGCCAAGAACAAGATGGCCAAGGCCGACTACGAAGACCTCAACGACAGCATGACTACTATGGTTGAGGATGCCAGGAAGGAGGCGGATGAGCTCAAGGCCAAGCTGAAGGCGTTTGAGACCCAGGTTCAAGACAAGACGTCATCGGTTCAAGGACTGGAGAAGAAGCTCGAGGAGCTTCAAGCAGTATTGAAGGTTAAGGAAGCTGAAGTTGCTGAGGCTAAGGTATGAAAGCGCAAGCGTTCCCTCGGCGCGCATGTTACAGGTGGGTGACTAATGGATTATGTGATCTAGGCTCTTGCCACCCCTGCTAAGACCAAGGGTCTTGCAGACAGCAGATATGCAAACTCCAACGACGACGATGACGACGCGGTATCAGCGGAAGGTGAGGAAGACGAAAAAGATCACAGTTCCGCCGGATTGGCCTTGGTGCGAACGCCCCTTGCATGATGCCAGCCGTCCTTTGGGCGGTTTTCTTTACAGAGATGTTTATGAACACAGGCTAACTCGGGCTTTCTTCATTGATTTAGCTAAGTAGTGCAAGGCTGACAGCCAAGCAAGTCCTCACTCTCGACCGCGAGATGCGTGATCGGAATCTGGCCATGCTGAACACAATCACTGATACCAAGTCGTCTGTATAAGCAGCGACCTTGCCCAGTGCACAAATATGTGGCATGAGAGGCTCACAGTTGGTATTTCGGAGCATTATATATTAAAACTTGTGTAATAATTCTCGTACTATTTCGTTGCTGTTTGGTTTGAAGCCCTGGTTATTGTGGGAGGATGAGTGGACATAGGTGATGTGCCCAGAAAGTGAGGATGGGTGCTTTGCGTGTGGGCGAAACTTTGGTTCTTGTTGAGGAAAGATGACACGATACCCTTTAGTGCAGTCGTTGCCTCTAATGCATTTTATCAGCGTATCTAGCCAAATCATTAAATTTGGGCCGTCTTTGAGTGATAACTCCAACAGTGGGTGGCGCAGAACGCAAGGCTGCTATCGCATTTTGACATGACAAATCATCAACACGATAAGGAGTTGAATGTCATGGCAATATATGATAATATCGGTTTATCTTTCGTTTACTATTGTAGTTCTTCATTTCACTACCTAAGACAGAAGAACCCATGCGTGTCGTATGGATCTAATAAAAGTGGAGAAATACATAACAGGTAGTGGAAGGTAGCAAGTGGGTGACACGGGAAATGGCACACCCAAATGAAGACCCAAATGAAGACCCAAATGAAGACCCAAATGAAGACCCAAATAAGCACCCAAATACACACCTAAATATCCAACCAAGTAGGTATCTAATCCTTAGCAGAGATTATAGTTTATTAATTTTGTTTTATCCTGATATGCTTTTCCTTTAACCTTGTCTTGGTAGCTGCACAGCTAGCTATGAAAGATAGTTGATCAAGTGATTGTTAAGGGAGTGCTTAGGTTTGCCATTTCCTCTGTCACCCACTTGCCAACCACTCCATGGGAGCCAGTAACGTCAATTTGAGTGATCGGTCTAGGATGCTTCCCTCTACTAATCATTCAACGGACGTTGATGTCTACGTTTCTGACGATGTGTCAAGTGCGAATGGCGGAGAGGAAGAATCCCATAGTGTTCCTCCCACAGTTCCAGATGGTATGCCTGTCCGTGAGAATTAGGAGTCTCCCACGCGACTTGTTCAAGTCTTTGCCAAGAAAATCCCGACATTCCAACAGATAATCAGAGATCTTCGAGAGATGGAGAGCGAGAAGGAACTTAACGCGTTGTGAGTCGCCGCAAGATAGATATGGCGCCGGTTTTCTTTGATATTGATCCCCCTCGCCCGGGGCTTATCCCATGGGAAGATTGCCTCAATTGTGGAACTCTTTGTGAGCTTGAAAAGGTTATACATCAGCGCGAAGGGCAGATCGATGATCAGGAGGCTGGATCCATAGGGCACTGGGCTGTCCAACGAGGGATCGAGGCAATGCGTGATCTTGAATTATGATTTAGAGTAGGATTGCCTAGTCGGAGTTAGGTAGCATCTCATCTTTAACTAGCATGTGAACCTGTTACTGTGGCGTTGCTTGCGCTGATATTGAATTAATTAGAGAATATGGGAATTCCAAGGCTTATCGCATGCAAATTATGCTATAATAATTTTGTGCAGACAATCACTTCATTAAACATTAAACTTTTGAACAATAAACTTTCGTTTGACTTAGGTAGCAATAAACCCGTATCTACCATCGCCTCCCAAGCTTGTCCATCCCTGCCAATCCGCTTTCTATTGGTTTTTGTGTAGGTTCCGAGATGATGCTTTCCTTGATGCTCTCGAAAGACCTCTCAATAAGCTCGACCTTCTGCTATCTTCTTGTACCCAGTCGTTTTGCCCGCAGGTAATTGATCGATTGCGAAATAAGGTTGAGTGCAATGAAAACCTGTCATTTGTAGCAGAGCTGACACCCGACGTAGTCGTTCCATCCTTCACGTCTTGATACATGTTCCCAGTGTTGTCTCATTAGGTCAAAGTTATCATTGCTCTCTTCACAGCCTCACGCATCATAGTAGCCGTAGATATACAACCCACATTACTCTCCTTGCTACGGATGTGGATGGTGGCCGACCAGACTTCCGAATGATCTGCTCTTGGATGGACTCCTCTGACAGTCTTAACTTTGAGAGAGTGGTAGATGATTTAGGAGGCTGTAGGACCTCTGTATCATCAACACCATAGAGCTAGGCTGACTTTATGGCACACGGCCCATGGGTTAGTTTCATCTTTGGCCGGGAGAAGAGGTAAGAAACAGTATCAGTCAGGCCCAAAATCAAAGTTTAGTGATAATAACGCGCATTATCGCCGATGACGATCAAAGTTAATGCAACGACATTGGTGGAAGGCTATATATACAGGAGTCAGAATCCCATTTTCAACAACCGGCGATACGTCGGCAAACAGCTATCTAGCATCCAAACAAAGGCGGCCAAATGGTTTAGTGGTATAATTCTCGCTTTGGGAACATATCATCCTGCATGCGAGAGGTCCTGGGTTCGATTCCCAGTTTGGCCCTCTGTTGCTGACACACTTGATGTGTCTTCCACTTTTTGCATCTGCACCTACTTACTTTTTTATAGGCTAATACCCTAAACAATAAACTAATAGTTAAGTTAAGTATATAGTGATCGCTTATTATAGTAGAGGCTTAAAGTAAGAAATAGAGAGTAATAGTAGTAGGGAAAAAATTAAATATATACAGATTATTAATAATATATATAAAAATATATAATAAAAATATATAATAAAAATGTAAAAGATGAGGGCCAAACTGGGAATCGAACCCAGGACCTCTCGCATGCAGGATGATATGTTCCCAAAGCGAGAATTATACCACTAAACCATTTGGCCGCCTTTGTGATTGCTTTGAGAGTTGCAAAAGCATGCTATATAGCTAAAATATCCATCTTCCATCTTCTGGACCTTGCTATCCGGCCACCTTTTTTGACTGGCTCAACCACCCGCTTGGGTACCTAGATATCAACCGCTCGCCTCGACAGTAGACAGCTTCTCCCAATCTGAGTGACACATGCGTCCAAGAAAGCCTCCGCAACAAGGTCGATACGGCCTTCTTGTTGTCTCACTTGTGCCAACTAAGCAAGATCTGCATGGTATGCTTCAACAAGTAAGTCCAGGAACGGATCCAAGCAAATCACAAGATATCATCTCAATTCGTAGGCCACCAAAAACCCTTCACATTACTCTCGTTGAAATCTACACTTCCAATATTACTTCCAAGTAACCATAACTAATTGCAACATCACTCATAACCATCGTCCATTACATCCTCATTACAAAACCCCGGTGCTGCAGGCGTACTGGCCAAGAATCTTTCGTCTTTGCGTCTTCTTATCGAATATGTCTTGACACTCCACAGGTAACTGTCTAAGACGAAGCTCCTCGCTTTGTCGAAGAGGAAGGAGAAGATTCATCAGTCTTGACTAGGATTGGGAAGCACCCGATCCCGGACGGCAGACACTGACGAGTATCCCCCCGACTTGACGAAATGTTCAAGAGATTGACGCACAAGAGATTCAGGCACCGATATTGTGTGATCCTCTTCAACCATCCAACCTTTTGGGATCCATTCGATGTCCGATGCGTTCATCGAAACACGGAGATGGGACTCGGCAGGTTTGGGATCAGGTGCATATTCGATGTGACGAGACTTCGCGGCAGGCTCGGTTTCATTATCAACAGGGCTGTCTGGACGCGGCCGCTTTGGTGCTGGAACGAATGGACGCAGCTTGTTCACCTGAAAAGGTGTGAATCCACTGAAGCAGGGTGGGAGGAAGTCCGAGATCTCTTGGCCGTTGGTGTAAGCTTGGTATTGTGTCTCGTTGAGGAACGCAACGGCGAGGAACATCTGGCTCTGGAAGGCAGCATCATTCCCGGCGTTGTGATGGATTTGGTCTTCTGAGCCCTCGACGTGCGTAGGAATCCCCAGAGAAAGACTTGCGGCTCTAGCATTCTTGCCAATCCTATCTCCGGATCCAAAGTGGTCGGTAAAGATGCTATGGAGTTGTAAATCCAACGGGGTGATGTTGAGCACATTGTCTGATTCGTAGAGGCCCGTAAGGTTGGAGCGACGGAGAAAACTCTCTTCCAATTGGGAGTCCCAAGTGATCACGAACATCTTGCGAAGAATGTTGTTGTTTCTCTCTTCTTTTGTGCGATTATGCTTCGACAAATTTCGTAGTTTCTGCAGGAGCACTGCAGGTAGCTCCGCCTCTTTGACATAAGAGCTTTTTCCAAACAGGAAAGCCTGTGGGCTTGCGTTATGGTAATCCGCATAGCAATTGAGACCATTGTGGTCGTGGTACTCGTCGGAAATAAAATGCTCACTGCGGATCCGTTTACACAAATTAATGCCTCGGTCACCAGGACTATGCAAAGTCGGTTCAACCGAGTAAATTTTGTTCGGATCTGACGAGCCAGATTTGATTCCATCGCGGCATTCGCGAAAATCAATATATGAAATGCCCAATTCGGTTATTGGAGCGTAGCGGACGCCATCCTCATCTAGCTTTTGCCGACAAAGCGTTTCCAAATCCCAACTTACTAGGATGCCATCACCATGCGAGATGATGGCGTCCCGCAAGTTTTGGGGTGGAGGCAGTGAATATGGCCGGCTAGGAGGTTTCCAAGCTTTCGGAAACCAATCCTCGAGTCTGCAGGTGATAAAGTGTTAGAATCCGGCTCAGTAGTTTACGTTGAGGTATGTTTTGCTTACTGTCCACAAAGAAGATCAGGCGCGTGATACTAACGGCGCTTGCCTTCTGTAGGGCCGCTCAGCTTCTTGAAGCCGGGTAACTTAGGAAGAGGGGTGGGCATATTGAAATTGATGGTATCACAAAGTCTGGAAGAGTTGATTATTGGATGGCTGAGGACTCGAGACGTGGAGAAGTGTCACGAAGTCTGGGAGAATGATTGGGTGGTTGAGGAGAAGGAGAAGAAAAAGGTTGGTGCAGTAGTTCTAGTGATGTGGGACCGGTTAGGGCTAGTATACTGCCAAGTGGGTGACATTGAAATTAAGACACTCAAACATTAAGCTGCTTAATTTCGAGTCTGCGACCGGTATTGTCAGACTATTGAGTGCCAATAATACATACCTCAGAGATAATATAATGGATATTATCACTTTATTTCATTTTATACTACTGAATTTCTCTATTTATTGCAGAAAGTAGCCTGTTTCTAGCTAACTCTTCCGTAGGTGTCTCATTTCTCCTGTCACCCGCTTGGCGGGCTAGATGTAACATGGTTTTACTACTACTAATGAATTTGCCCCTCAAGTGGTTTTTAGGATGCCAACTCGCGTCGATCCTTGACGTTGAAGCTTGAAATAGGAGGGGGATCATGTCCTACTTTGGCTTGGCAATACGTCAAAGATGTTACGAAATTAAGCTTATCCTGAGAAGCAAGTCGACGGATAGGCACCAGTTGTTAATCTCCTGAAGAGAACCAACCAACAATGGGACCCAGAGGGCTAAACTGACCTGATATCTTGTCATGCGGCTGGCGGATGGGACGGGTCAGGATGCGTAAAGGCGCCTGATTAAGCTTGTATCAGGAGCGGGTTTAATTCAGGTCGCGCTCAAGTGGGACAATTTGTTCACATCGCGGAAGAAGGACTGCACGGATGGAGTAATGATCTGACTTGGAATGTCCTGACTGTGGCATGCTAAAGGCCATCGTCGATCTGACCTAGGAGTGACGTTGTGCGAGGAAGGGTCCAGCAGGTACCTCGCGATGTATCTAGAACCCACCACGGCATTGGACCCTCAATCGCTGAAACCGACCGGCAGGAAGTACAAGCCCGACTCCGATGACCACATGCTGGGGACCACATCGCCCACTAACCCACTGGCTGGCGCATGGTCCAGGCGGCCCAGGGGACCCTGTCTGCCCGCCAGCGCCCTACAAGCACCCTGCATGGGCGCTGGGCGCTCACTGGTTGCGGTCATGATTAGTCACCATTACCATAGCTCATGCCAGTCCTGATTGGCCCAGCGCAAAATGCATGAACAGGCCAGACCGGGTGCAAAAGTTGCCGCATTTTCAATGACGTCTTGCGCCAGACACGAGGACCTGTGATTGTCGTTGCAGCTCGATGTCATCCATGACATCGAGCCGTAGCCTCCGAGCGAAGAGGGTCCGGTCCAGCAACCCCGTCCCCTTACAAACAAACTCGTCGTCGGCACTAGCTGTATTTTAATGATGCGAATCCCGAGCGTCTCCTGCCCAGGTACCTATGTATCAGTGGAAATCAAGTTTATTCGCCCGTGACGAATCAATCGCCCATTCTAGATTCCAGCCGCTACTCATCTCGTCTTTCAGCCCGGCGTTTTCCTCCACCCGCCATGTTCCTAGCTCACGGCCCCTAGAGTCTCCAATGACCACCAGCTCCAGAACATTTTTGTCTCATCTCCCCTTTTTAAGCTTTTCCCTTCTCTCCTCTCTGCTCTTTCCACCTTCATCGTCCTGATCGCAGCATAACCCGACGGCGGCCTTGCGCTTGTCATCCGCATTGACCGATATGCCTGAAGTTCTACATGGCAGCATCAAGAGGTCGAATTCCGACCCTTGCCTCCACCAGAGCGATGCTTCCGACAACACCGCTAGCAACACGACACCGTTGAAGAAAGCCTTAACCTTAACAGATAACCACGTTTCCGAAGCGCCACTGCCCGCGCCTCGCCGCCTTAGCTTTGCCCTCGGGAGACGAGGCAGTAACAATCCCTCGTCCTCCGGCAATGTGGCATCGACGAGCCCCGGCGCAGCAAAGCGGAAGGGGAGCATCCAGGTCGACGAGGCGCCCCCGAGGAAGAGCCTATCGTACGCGCTGAGGCCCGAGGCGGAGGCATACTACGATTCGAGGGCGGCCACGCGCCAGGAGTTCAAGAGACGAGGGAAGACCCTCGAGGAATACTACGACGACAATCCCGAGCTGTTGCCACAGCTGCCTTTCACATGGCACCACGGGAACCGGCGGTGGCGACTGTGGTTCTTTGCATTTATCGTGTTCGTCGACGCATCCGCCGTGCCGATTGCGTTGTACTATGGCATGAAGTACGCGGGGAATGTCCAGGAGTACATCATTTTCATCATCATCACGACGATATGGGGCGGGCCGACGTATCTCGAATTTGGGATCCGGACACTGCGCCTGATGAAGAAGGAAAGGTTCTATCGTCCCTTGGGCACGACGAACCGCTGGTGTGCCGACATGTTGACGTGGGCTTCTGCATTGACAATCACCGTCGTCACGACACTGTTCATCGTGGGTAGCGCCCCGCATGATCCCTGGTTGCGTGTGGTGGCGATGGCTGCTCCGTCTATTCTCTGGTGCTATGGCGGCGTCCTACTGGCCATCACTCTGCTGCATCGGTTCAACATTCCCGCCCCTTTCCGTATTAGTTCCACCGCGAAAGGTGGAAAGGTATGTTTGCAATGCGAGAAGACAATTGGTCAAGAAGAAATGATGCTGACTTGTGCTTGTGTAGGTTCTCCCGGGTGTGTACTACTTCATTGAGGACACACTTGCGGTCAATGGAGCGTGCGGTGCGCCATTTCGTGAGGCTCTCGCTGCAAGATATCGGGCCAGCCCTCGATTTCGTGAGATGCTCTATGAGCAATCCTTGTTCTGGTCAATACCCACATTGATCTTCGCTACTATCTTGACGGTGATTGCCGTCATCCCCCAAGTTCCTGAGAATTGGTCTTACGGAGTCTGTTGGGTTGCCCCGTTTGGATTCACTTTCGTCTGGGGCCTTATTACTATCACCTGGTGCAAAGCACGCATGGTCAGGGAGAGACTGGAGTGGGAGGCAGGAGAGTTCCCTCGAAAGATCCCATCACCCGGGAGTGAGAAGTCAGCCCCTACACAAAATTGTGATCCGGTTGCATGATTACAACATTTAATGAAGATATGAAGAAGACGAAAGCAAAAATTGCATTTTAGCGTTGGGGTAGAGACTGAGCTAGATAAATACACGTAACGTACCAATGATTTAAATGATTTAATGCATGGTGACTGAGCGAAACGGATGAAATGATCGTATGCACTATAAAGATGTGACTACTCTTGTTTTGTGAAACGTAATTTCAGAGATATGGATTCTATTTTCCCAGCAAACCCCGCCAACATGCGATGTATATCAAACTTTTACGATTTGCCTACCGGCCGCAGCATCAAAGGGGAAGTAACATCGGCTGGGCCGCCCCAGGGTGACAGGTCCACCACGAGAGTATCAACGACCTCGAAGCCGCACTTGGCGTAGAGGCTCTGCCCGGCCTGGGAAGACTCGAGGTAGGAATCTATTCCGAGGCGACTGGACTCTTCCAAGCCCCAATTGACCAACATGGAGCCAGCACCCCGGCGTTGGTGGTTAGGATCCGTGTGCAGCAGCTTCAGGTCTTGACAAGCGGATGTTAGTTTGGTCGAGCAAGCCTTGATCATCGTATAGGAAACAAATGAACATACAGGAATAGGGCCTTTCGGCAAACCTCTCGTTCCGTTTCGTCCTCATCCCACCGAAGAACCGCTCGCAAGCCTCAGGATTGGTGCCGGGCGGCCAGGTCTCGGGCTCATGGACGTGAGGTGCGGTCCAGAAGAACCAGCTCGCAAAGGCAATCATATCCCGACCCTCGGGGAGGTCAGTGTCTATGACCTTGACCCAGCGGTTTGCCGGGTCTACGCGGAGGATGTCGACGAGCTTGGACACGCGCGGGTGGGCGCCATCGGTGGACGGGGGGAAGGGTCCCGGGAAGAGGGCGCGGCTCATGGGGGATGTCCCGTAGGCGACGTCCTCGATTTCGACGGCGCGCTTAGCGTCGGCCTCGGTAGCTGGGACTACTTTGAGGCCCATCTTGTGTAAAAAAGTTGATGAGTGTCAGGGAGGGGGGAGACTGGGCTGGTGGATGAGGGCCACGGGGAAGAGGGACGTGGGATGGATTTAAACAACCGAGCCCATATCAATGGATCTGAGAACCACGTTCATCATACTGGCTAATTGATGGCTGACCTGTAAATCTTCACCTGGTGATGCCAAGGGTTTGTCGGCGAGCCGGTTTGGGCAGGCGGGGGATTACATCCTCTCCCCCACATGAGCTCGCCGATACCAAGATTGGAAAGTGATGATGTGGGAATATTCGAATCAACGATGGAGGTGAGTTAGTCTTATACAACAGCTCCGCTGTGAAGTTCGAAGATCGGTAGTCAGGCTGTGCGTGTTGGCACGCTTCTAATCTACCTGACATGGATTGGGCGAGGTATGTGGCTGCTCTTGGGCTTTTCAGTTCGAGCGAGGCCCCGGATTACCTTGCCTTCGGCTCCGAGACGCACGGACTGCGAAGCTGGATGATCACACAATACGATACTTTCTACCATCCCCTTTTTTAGCTGGTGTTTCCCCCCTTCTATGATCTTTGAGAGCAGAAAGGTGGCTCTCGGTAGAGAAATGTGGCGGTGCAACGCGATTTAGCCACAGTGACGTAGGCCGACGCCACACTGCCACTTATATCAGAGGCCGAGGCGCCAGCTTCACCCCTCTCGATTTGAAAACCTCATCCAGAACAGAAAAGACTGAACAAAAAAAAGAAGAAGAGATAGGACAAAAGCCGTTCTCCAAATTATATCAACAATACCTACCATCATGGGTCTTCCTCAATTCACCAAGCCTTCCAACGACAAGGATGGCCAGAGCTCGCATGCTCAGCAGCCGCAACAAGGAGCGGCTGTGGGTGCCGGCGCCAACACGGGAGCTGGAGTGACGCGCGAGAAAACCGAGGCAGAGAAGGAAGCCGACCGCCTGTATGAGGAGAGAATGGAA